TGAGTTCAACTCATGAAGCTCGGTCAGATCTTTCTTTAGTGCACAACCTTCGAAGTTTGAGCTTGACATAAAATCAAGCATTTAGTCTTCGAAGCTCGAAACGAGCACCAAATACAAGGGGTAAATATTGTGTGTGATTTTTCCATCAAGCTCGAAGAAGTCAGAGATCGGCATGGTTATAGCTCGACCCAAAATCAATTCGGCTCTATCAATTGTCTGGCCCAGTATAAGCTCGTTGAGATGTAGCTCGACCCCAGAGTAAGCTAGTCATGACCAATCTCGACAATTGTTCAATCAGCTCACAGATAACCTTAGATTCTGGATATCTCGAAAGGGATCAGATCGACAACAATCTTGGCGCAATCTCAACGCTCAATTGCGAGAATATCGGAGTTGAATTTCAATTTTAATTGTAATCCCTTTATTTTCATTATTTCCTTTGTACATAATCTGTATATAAATCTCGTCCAACGAGGAGAAAAGGGTTAGCAAATTATTCTAGAAATACTATTGTAAGCTCTCATAGCAAGTACAAAAACAGTGGACATAGGCTCAAAATTCAAACTTGCCGAACCACTTTAAAACTCTCTTGTGTCATTTACATTATTGCTTCTTACATACATTGCTGGTTATCCTTAATCACGCACACCTGGGTTCCAATTCTATCAAAGTCAATCAGATCACTCTAATTGATGTAAATCTAGTATCAACAGATAATATTATATATTTGTGTCCACAAAATTAAGTTAATTATATATAACTTAAATTTTAGATAAGATATTCTGTCTTAACAACCTTATTAAAAAATTTCCATTTTGATTATAAAACTTTTGAAAAAGAATTGTGATAAAATTAAGTTAAATTTTCACATATTTAGTAAGATTGGTTGCGGCGGGTTGATTGACTATAGTAATGGTACAACTTTGCTCATTTTGATGGATTTTTTTTTAAGATAAAAGAGGGCATGGGCATCGAATATGTATATATATATACTTGAATACATACAAGCTATTATATATTTCATGGAAGACGAGAGATAATTAAACTTGATTAGGACATTAATAACTTCATCATCAATGAGAATATTATAACTAAACCGATCCCACTAATTAATCATATTGTTGTACAAAGGCACCCCAACTCTCAGTTCAATCATTTAATTTCATCATTAATTATTTAACTACCATTTTGATTAATTTGTCCATTTTTTTTTTTTTTTTCCACATATCTATATCACATTGGAATAAGATTGTTCTATCATATGAATATTGCACGCAAAGATTGTAATAATGATTTTACAATATTTCAATATGGTATTAATAAGGGTTTTGCATGATAGGTAAATTCTATAAAATAATATTTGTTTGATGCAATAATATAGTATTAGTCTTTTATTGGAAAATTTTCAGAGGTGATTAATTTAGCTAGCTGTTTGAAAAAAAACCTTTGAATTTTCTCTGCCTCCGCAATTAACCATTTCACTCTAGATAAGCAAGATTTATTATCTCATAATCCATATTCATTTGAGATGGAAAAGGTTTTTTTTTTTTTAAATCAGGACTTTAATGTGCATGTGTGATCTTGTTTTGACAACAAACTCCGATGATAAAATTGATTCTATTAAATCAAAATGATAGTGATAATGAACAATATTTAGGGTATGTTTGGTACATGAATTCTTCAAGAAAAACTTAAGTAAATATAGTTAATTATATAAATGATTTTTCATATTAATTCTTCTAATCTTAATGTCGTATTACTTACTATCATTTAATGGACATTTATTATTGATTTTTCATATTAATTCTTCCAATTATAATCTAACACATCACTTTGTAGGAAATATTTTGTATAAAATCTGTGTAAGTGTAGTATTATTCTTTTTAAAAACATATATAGTTGAAGGGTATGCAAAATTTATTCTCTTTTGTCCATCTTAATCGTGGTACAATATGAGTCTTGTTATGACAGTATTTTTCACTATTTTTTTTTTTTTTAATTATGAATAAACTCTGTCAAATTGAGTATGAAAAATAAACCTAATTTTGGTGCTCCTTAAAGTATATTCATCTTCATTATTCACAGTCAAACACAGAAAAAAAAAATCCTTTTCCGTGCACATAAGCCAGACCAGACAAGCACGTATCCATTGAATCTAAGTCATTGCAATTGTTAGAAAAATCAACTCAAATCTTAAAAAGTTGAAATTCCTCATTCAAAATCTAAATCAAATCAACGCAAAGGTGCCTTAATTCCTCATCACATTTGCATATAATGAGAAAAAATAAATTATGAAAAAAACAGTTCGTCCTATGCATATATATTTTTTATTTATTTCTTATTTTATTTAGCGAAATAATTAAACAAAAAACAATCCATCTTATAAGAATATGCCTTTACATTCCTTAATATAATTTCTTTCCTTTTAGAGCTAATCAAATGTCTAATACTGTTATGGGTAAAATTATACTAACATCAGCACCACCAATCATAATGAGTTATCAGTCCCATCAATCAAAGTTTAACAAGAGCTAACAGATAAAGAGAATGTTTGCCTGAGCTTATAAGCTGATCAAATTAGCTTATAAGTTATAAAATTAAGTTGACATGTTTGTTTATAACTTTTTTTTTTTTTTTGGTTATTTATTGGATTGACCAAATATATTACCACATTATCTCTATTTAATTTTAAAATTTCACTGTATAATGAATTATTTGATAAAATAATGTAGCACTATTTTTAGTCATTTTAATAATAAAATGTACTTATAAGCCACATTTTACAAAATGCATCAACTATTGATCAATCACTTGTAAATATTTTAATAAAAAACGTAACTATAAAATTTCAAATGCTTATAAACTCAAATGAGCTTATAAATATTAACTGCTTATAAGCTAATTTTTATAAGCTTAGCCAAACAGCTGTCAAGACCAAACCAACCTAAGAGCATTTATATCAATCATATCCTATTTTAAGATAAGGATTAAGGAGTGGTCCCCAAATGTCAAGACAACTTACAAAAAATACTTATTACATTGAGTTCAAATGTATAAATAGACATCTCTTCATGAAACGAGGAGGCTGGATATATGTGAGTTAAGCATACGTTTGAGCTTCATTATTTTCTCTATAAACAAAGTATCATTCCATCTTTGTACGCCTCACAGGCGATATCAGAAAAATAGTCAGAGAATAATAAAATAACAGTGGATGTAAGATTTGCTTTAAACATCCGAACCACTATAAAAATATATCTTGTCAATCTTTTAATTATGTTTCTTCAAACATTTATCATCTTAACTCCATAATCAACTCTCATAATCATTTCATGTGTAATTTCTAAGACTCTCTTAGCACTTTGTACATGCGACGTCGTTGGTGTCAAAATCACGCATCAACAAATACTTGCTTCCTTAAAACTGAAAGTCTGTATTATTGAAATGAGCGAGCATGTCTTATACAAAATTAAAATCTATAATGTTATCAATATATATGTTATGTAATTTCTGTAAAATGATTAAAGTTGCAATTTTGATCTTGAAGTAAAAAAGCAATAATTTATAACTAATATTCATTAATTTGACCGAGTCTCAAATGTATATAAAGAGTAAATTAGAAGTGCTATAATAGGAACTTGTCTAAAGTAATATAACTTGTCTATATCATTTCTCATAGTAAATTTGTAAATGGTATGCTTAATTATTGACTGGTACTTTGTGTTAATTTAATAAAGAAAGGTCCACATGCTTGTTACCTGAAATGCATTTCAGAATGAAAGAATATTCATTAACACCATTATACTTTAATTAAAATTTTAATATAATTCAATGGGACTTAGAAATCCTGTTAACTTTTAGAAAATATTTCTTATTGACTATCTTGTACGTTGGGGTAACATGCAACATTTTTTTTTTTTTTTTTTTTTTTTTTACCGAGGTTGTCCAGGCCAACTCATGCACTTTAACTAATTAATCCCTTGAGACCGTAAAGTTAACGACCAAGTAAGCCTCCTGTGACCACCCTAATTAGGAACCGAGATAAATTAAACTCAAAACCTCTTGAGTAATATACCCAAGAATCCTAATTGACCACTTGACTACTCAAACACCTTTCAAAGAGAAAACGGACCTGTTATTGGATTAAAGCTCAATAAATAATGTACATTATACTCTACTTAATTCAAATCATATTAATTGAAAGGATCTAACTTATATACCTATATAATATTTATTTAGATAATAATCCTAATATTAACTATATCATGATGTCATATGATTAATTACAGGTAGATTATTACATAAAAATATTATTTCAATCCAACTAATAAATCACGATACTTAAGTATGATCTTGACAAAATTAATTTCGTATGTCATTATAGAATTTTTTTTGTGTATATACCTATATTCAACTAATGCTTTATATAATTTAGAAATTTTAAAGTGAAAAATTTGGTCATCAATTTTGAGGATAGCATTGACATCCAGTAGTCACTGACGTTGCTATGACAAAGCTTTTGTATTACATGTTGACATCCATTAGGCATTGCTATGTCACAAAGACATTACATGGTAAAACCAAAAATAAAATTTATAAATAAATGGTAAAGGTTAAAATAGTATTTTTATGAATAATATTTGCAATTGTTTAACGGTTAATGTAAGCAGATATAAAATAAATCTGAAGAACACACAACACAGTGAAAAACCTGGGATTTGTACAGTGTTTAAACAGTTGCTAAAAAAAAAAAAAAAAAAAAAAAACCCTGAGATAGATACAGGGAGAGGGAACAGTATCTAACAAGTATAAAGATAAAGCAAAACATAAAAACAACATCCATCTCTACAACCAATTCCCAGGGTTTCCATTTCTCTCTTTTATTTTCTCTTTTAATGCCCTATAAAGACACCCTTTCAGTAAAGTTTCTTACCTGTTAACCAAGATTAGAAAAACCAAAAAGAGAAAGGAAAAAGAGGAGAAACAAAAAAGAAAAAATTATGGGAAGGGGAAGAGTTGAACTGAAGAGAATAGAGAACAAAATTAATAGGCAGGTTACATTTGCTAAGAGAAGAAATGGGTTGCTAAAAAAAGCTTATGAACTCTCAGTTCTTTGTGATGCCGAAGTTGGTCTCATCATTTTCTCCAACCGGGGAAAGCTTTATGAGTTCTGTAGCAGCTCTAGGTATGATCTTCTTCTTCTTCTTCATCGTCATCATCCTTACTTTTCTTTTCTTTTCTTTTTTTTTTTTTCTTATAAATTTTCAATCTTCCGTTGTCCAACCTCACTTCTTTCTTAATTGTGAGTGTTTGTGCAAGATCTGCACCTTTTTTTTAAAGAGATTTATTGTTACGTGTTTGATGAGGTTTAGTGGTTTTCATAAGCAAAGACTTATCATTTTTGCCCTTTTTCTCTTTCAATTTTCTTGAAAACTGTGGTTTAGGGTTTTCATTTGCTCTACCTCTATCTGGTTTGATTATTTTTAATTTTTTTCAAGAGAAAAAAAAAAAAGCTTTTTTTATTTCTTTTGTGGATGTTCTTGTAAAGATCTCTCCCTTTTTCTTTTTCTTGTCTTGGATTCTTATAGTATTAATTTAGGTTTCATATAAAAAAGGATACTTACAAAAATTTGCTATATTTTTAGTTATTTGTCACTTTTCTAACCTATTGTTGGGTAATAGTAATGAAAAGAGTAGCTGTGCAGCTGTATATACAACTTATATATACATAGTTTACTTCTAAAATCAACAAAACTTCAAAGCCTCTTGTTGATCACTGGTTTTCTTCAGGGAGGTTTGATCTTTACTGGGTTATTTTGTTAATTAAAAATAATTAAAGTTTTTCTAAAATTATTAGATCGAGGAAACTGGTGCTACTTCTTGACCCTAATTATTATCAGTTTCAGGTCTAATACTGATTTAATTACTGTTGTGATTCACTGCCATGGATGTGATGTTTTACAGAGTTTAGTTAGCTGCACTTTGTGGTGCAATTAAACCAACTCTTTCTGAGGAGAGAGAGAGAAAATAAGCTTTTGTTTTTCTTCATCTAGAGCTGCAGATCTGTAAAACCCATCAAAACAAGTTTTTCTTTTTCATTTATTGGTTTTTCTTCAAGTTTTTGTATAGAAAATAATTTGATCTCTCAGTATTATTAAGTCACAATAACGGTTTGAGAAACACAGAGTCTGCTATATACTGAAGTTTGATCTGACAGAAACAACACAAGATTCATTTAGAAATAATTTTACCTGGGAATTGACTTTATTTTATTTATCTTTTCAGGGTAACCTACATTTTTTTTATATATATATATTTTATCACTTTTTTCCACTTAAAAAAAGCCATGATCTTGAATATAAATGTTTTCTTTTGTTTTTTCTTTATTTATTTTTTCGTATTTTCGGTTATACTCTTTTCTTTTTCTCTTTGCATATATAATTATTTGGTCTATAAATATAAAGGTTTTTGGAGTTAAAAAAAAAATTAGAAACATCCCTCTCTTTGCTTCTAAACTTGAAGAAAGCTTTCCGATTTGTTTGATATTTTTTTGTTTTATTATGCTTTTTTTTTTTTTTTTTAATATTGTTCTAACATGGTTCTCACACACATCTACACAAGTTTTTTTCTTTAGAGTAAAGATGTTTTTGTGGTTTTTTTTTTTATTTTTTCGTTTATTTATTTATTTTCCAGAGATAGGTTGGGTTAGTATAGATATTGTTGAGAATATTAATTACAGAAAACTTATGCAGTGTTGCTGCTTGAGTCCATGTGAACAATAATTAGAAGCATAATTATCCTAGTTAATTTAGAAATAAATTTTAAGTTTTCCCGGAAGTCTTTTCAAACTGATTGTGAGTTAGCTTTGACAATGAGAAAAAAAAAATCTAGTAATTCAGTGTTTGAGTTTAATTATGGATTTTTTTACACAAAAATCGTTTTAAAATATAAACCGAATCCTTAATCTCCAAGTTGAATTTCAAAGTAAGTTCAACTTAATTTTTAGCTAGATCATTCTTTTTGTTGATCATTGTCATATGATGGAACTAATTTTATGTCAAGTTAGAGACCTTTTGGTGCTTTGTTTTCAAGTGAAAAATCTGGGTAACAAAATTTAGGACTTAGCTTAAAAACTTAATGTCAATGCAAATAAACAAAAAAGATTGACAGTAGGAAGTAGAACTGATTATATACAAGGACTTGAATTTCTGAGGAGAATCAATATACGATTATTAGTAAGAGAAGAGATAATGAAGATTTTAATTAATATATGTTAGCTTTGATAATTTCTGAGGTGCCTTGATTATTTTTTCCTTAATTTGTTGATAATTATAGATAGTTGTTTACTAAGTTTTGATTCTTTGGCTTGCTCATATTGGCTGTTAATTTCTGAGCATGTTCATTAGCAACACCCTATATGATGTAATATTGGTGATTGGTATCCATTTTCTCTATGATTAATTTGAACAGATGTTTAAATACCTTCAAGTGATTCTTGATGCAACCTACTTGAACAGTTTTAGCTAGTGATTAATTATTACTTGCTCAAAAATTACCTATATATTTATCTATCTCTATATAGATACCTGAAATGTCTGAAATGAATATACTGTATGCGAAAGCCAACCTAGTTTCTTGTGGCATACACTTTTTTTTTTTTTTTTTTTTCTTCAATTAGCCTTAGGTTGTTGTTGGGTATGATGTGGCATACAACTTCATTTCTGTATATACTAATGCATTATGAGAAGAAATATCTTACCCATCACACTTAAATTATGATATTCATAATACTTTCATAATTTATTTCTGGTTGTGGGTTTGATATGTTAATGGTTTCTGTTTAATTCTTTAATTTCCATGATTTAATTTCTTATTATTGTATTGCTCTGGCTTCCTTCATGTAAGATGATTTGATCATTCTTGTAACTAATTACGGACAATGTTGCACTGAAGAGAGCTTTAAAAAAGGATTTGTAGCTATGATATCTTTGAATCATGGTCCTATTTTCATGGTTATTGCAGCTTGATTGTGTTTGATATATATGTGTGTGATGACACTGGAATAGATAAAATTTGCCGCATACATCTTTTAATCCAAAGTCTGTTCATCCTTTATCATTCTATTGACGTGCGTATAGTTTTATATGTAAGTTTCAATTAGCTTTAGTTCATATACATGAATTAGAAGTTTAAACTTTGGGACCTGACCACAATATTATGTTTTATTTGTTTCTTCTTTAATTAGTATGATGAAAACTCTGGACCGATACCAAAGGTGCAGCTATGGAGCACTAGATGCTAACCGGGCAGGCAATGAGTCACAGGTAAATTCTCATTTTCACACTAATCTCACAATGAAAATACACAGTTTAATCTATGAAAATATAAATTAATTGTTATTAAATTCCTGAAGCAGGGAACTTACCAGGAGTATTTGAAGCTGAAAACAACGGTCGAGGTCCTACAGCGATCTCAGAGGTTATTTACTATTGCTTTAAATTATTGTAATTTGTACAACGAGGACCTCAATATGTTTTGTAGATGAAAATAGAAAAATGATCGTGATTTGTTTACTTTGACATGGTGCAGAAACCTTTTGGGAGAAGATCTCGGTCCGTTGTGCACAAAAGAGCTTGATCAACTTGAGAATCAGCTGGAGACATCCTTGAAGCATATCAGGACTACAAAGGTACGATGCGTGAAAAACTTTAAAGAATGATAATATGAAATTAATTAGCTAAAATTAATATTTTTTTTTTCCTTATTCTCGATTATTTATAATAAATGTCATACTATTATATCTCATCCAATTATCGTATACCAAACGAGATGTTAATGAAATTATATTAGATTGGATTTGCGTTTGTAATTGTTATTATATTAATGTTTGTGGTTAATCATAATTGTGTTCTATCCAGATGTGTAAAATAAGAAGAACCGCAAACCCTAAACCTAATTAACGTCTGTTAATTATTTAGTCACGTAACTCTCACTAATCACTGATATTCTTCATACTCCCACGTAACCTATTCAATGTGTCTTCAACATTCTTTGAAACCTGATTCCAATTCCCCGTTGTTCATCAAAAAAGGATACCAACATGTAGAACCTACCAGAATGTCTGTTTCTCTCTTTCAATTATCAGCTGCATGGCATTTTCTGTACTGTGTTGTCTCTTAACTCATCTGTTAACTCACCTCTCTCTCTCTCTCTCTCTCTCTCTCTCTCTCTCTGTCAATATATATATCTCAGTTGGCTTTTATTGTCTCAAAAGATGAGACTCGGATGGTTATCTTTCTCTTCTTCCTTGCATATTTCTTTTTTCTGCACTCATTTAAATTGGTTTTCATGGGACTGTTCAGGCTAGATTTACGTAGTAAATTTCTTTTCTTTGTTGTTTTGTGAACAACTTGGACTTATACATGACAATTGACATCAAAGGGATTTGTTATATAACATAGTTAAAAACCTGACCATTAAAAAAAAAGCTTCACGACACAACCTATATTTTAGCAATTCTCACATTATTTTTCTCTCTTTGAATGATTTACAGACACAATTTATGGTTGACCAGCTTGGCGAACTTCAAAAGAGAGTACGTATGCATGTCATAAAATTGTGAATTTTTGTTAAACAATGGTGCTATTGTTAAATGCATTTTACCTATTTTAACGTCTCAATTTCTAATTGATTCAGGAACAAATCCTACTTGAAACTAACAAGGCCCTGAGAAGGAAGGTACGAATTTCTCAGTGTCATAGATCGAATTCACAACTTTATTAATTCCGGCATTCTTTTAATAAGCACCCTAATATAACTAAGATTCGATACCAGAACTTATCGGAAAATTGGTGAAAACAAAATAAATTCTCTTTTGAAACAGTTTGAGGAAAGCAGTGCACAAATTCCTCTTCGACTACCATGGGATCAGAATGGAGAACAAAACATGACATACAACACTCGTCTCCCTTCTCAATCAGAAGGGTTTTTCCAGCCCCTGGGAGCCAACTCCAATATCCATATGGGGTATCTTCAAGAACTTTCACTGACTAGGTAAAATTATTGAAAATTTTAAACTCGATAAACTGATAATGTTCAATAATTGCTTTTTAATTTTTGACAGATACAATCCAATGGTGGTGAGTACTGCTGGTGCGGAGGAGGTGGTAAGTGTTAGTGTTGCAGGGCAAACTCAGAGTACTGTGAATGGATACATTCCAGGATGGATGCTTTGATTATGAGTTTGGTGAATTGAAGTATTTGATTAAATTTTTTTTTTTTTTTTATTTTGCTTGGCTTTTATGGTTGTGATTATCTTCTTCATGCAGCATGTAATTACGTATGTGCAAAACTCTAAGTATTGTTTGTAAGTTTTATGTAATTTGAAAAATGACAGATGCTTTTATTATTGTGTTACACTGTTACTTCATGTAAAACTTCTAAACCTTTTAATTAATTTTCTGGGTGTGTTAGCCATTAATATATCTTTTCTCTTTTCTCTTCTCATATTAATTTTGTCATTTAGGGATAAAATTAACTAACCAATAGCTCATTCTGAATAAATATTTGCCACTACCCATAATATCTCTAAAAATAGAGCTTTGAACCACCACTGGGTGGCCTGATGGTTATAAGAGCAAAAAAAGGTTCTATGAGTTCTTAAATTCGAGTCCCTACAAGCTCTAATAAAGGTGGTTATTGAGGGGTTTACTTGGTCGTCAACTTCAGGATCCCAAGAGATTAATTGAGATGCATGCAAGCTGACTCGGACACCCCATCATCAAGAAAAAAAAAATAGAGCTTTGGTTATTTATATATGGAAGGGATTTTGGTGGGCCTGAGTTTGACCCAGACTAAGTTAATGGTGTTGAAAATAAATGGCCCAAGCCTACCACTGATAAATGTTTCTGGGCAAAGCCGCTAAGGAAAATTTGCAAACCATTTATTTATTCACTATTTTGATTTTATTTATTTATTTATTTATTATTCATGATAATTCCTTTTTAGATACTTGGATTCAAAGGGAATATTGATGTGTTTTCAGATTGAGAGGTCTTAGTTTCCTTTTTTGTGATGACTTAATAAACAGTTTTAAACTATTATTTTACTAGTAAATCGATGTCTAAACATAAACATAATCATAATCATAATCATTTTATTTTATTTTTATTACCAAAGAGTATTGGTGATGTGAAGTGTAACCCAAAGCTTATAAAATGTGTTTATTTATTCTCACTTAAACCATCATTATATGACCTCATTTCTAAACTTTATTCTCTCACTAATCACTCATTTAATTTTCATAAACAAAAGGGTGTTAATGTTATTACTACATCCATTGACCTAAAGAATTATATTTAAATATAAAATAAAAATGGTGAATATATATATATATATAAAGCTGAATACCCCCTTGGCTGTAGAATTGTTCTATCTTGACACATTGGATTGACAAGTAAGATTTATGGTTTAATGAGCCCAATCAAATTGTTTCATCTTGACATGTTGGATTTTACAATTAATAATTAATAAAAATTATTGGATCTGTATCAATAATAATAATAATAATAATAATAATAATAATATATGTGCATTGCATTGACATTCTAAAGCTGTAACCATTAATAACAATAATATAGGTGTATTGCATTGACATTCCAAAACTGTAACCATTTTGACATGTTGGATGTGCATTAATAATAAGTATACATGTGCATTGGATTGCTATTAATAATTGTAGTTTAATAACATCTGTCTAGGATTATTATTAATAATTATATAGGTGCATTGTATTGATATTGCAAATATTTCTTCGTATTTAATTGTGTTGGTATTCAAAATGTCTGAATAAGGGGTTAGAAAATGGGCAAATGTTCAGTTCATATTATCACAATATGTTAGTTGGTGTCAACAATACGTCTGGTGTTTTATTAATTATTTATAGGTCATGTTAGTTTGTGTCAATAATACGTTTGTTCTTCATGATTTTGTTAATCGATGATTTATTTATTTATTTATGTTTTTTTTTTGTCGGTTACAGGTAAAAGATTCATGAATTAGCATGGAATAAATGCAAGATGTCCAATTGACATTGTCAAATGAGTTGTTATTTTGATTTGTTCTTTGAAATGTAAATATATCTTCTAACTATTTTAATATGAAACTGTAAGTATATCTCCTAACTATTTTAACGGTTATTATTTGATTGAATGATTATTTTTGTTCGGTCAATCTATTTGAATGATTAATTGTGCTAGTCTTGTTGAACGGTAAATGTATTCCTTAACAATTTTAATATAAAGATTAATTAACTTTTGTTGATTTTGTTTTCAGGTAACGGTTGTTATACGAATGAATCATTGTTCCTTAATAATTTTAATATGAAGATCGATTAAATTTTGTTATATTTGTTTTTAAGGAAATGTTCTTGTACTTTACTAAGATCAAATTGAGGATGATCATATTGTCAAATGAACTGTGAGTATTTGTCATATCTATATTAGTTGAAACAGTTCATTTGTGTTGAATATGTTTTCTGTAAAAACATTCGTGTATTTTAATTTGTTATATGAATGATTAATTGTTTATGTTCTACTGATGTGCGAGTATATACGTTAAATTAATTAATTTTGGTTGATTCAGTTTTCCAATTAATATGTGTTATTTGAAATATTTCTTATCAATCCTAATATGATAATTCCTTAAATTTGGGTTAAGTAAAACATTCATTTTATCATCACATACATTTCGATTTCCATTGAACAATCGGTAGAAAATTGACCACCATAACTTGCTCAATAAAAATCTAATTGATGAGAGGATTGAATCTTTAGAAACTAGACAGAAAGAGATTTAATTTGATATATTATACGCTTAATTTGGATAACTGTAGCCCCACTGCTGAACCATTCTTTTTATTATCATATACGTTTCATCTTTCACTGAACATTCGGTAGTAAATTAACCATAACTTGCTCAATAAAAATTAAATTGATGAGAGGTTTGAATCTTTAGAAACTAAACAGACAGAGCTTTAAATTAATATATTATACACTTAATTTGGATAACATTAGCCCCACTGACAAACCATTTCTTTTATCACCACATACATTTTGGTTTCCCCTGTTTTTAGATTTCCATTGAACAATTAGTAACAAATTAGTCATAACTTGCTCAATAAAAAATCCAATTGATGAGCGATTTAAATCTTTAAAAACCAGATAGATAAGACTTTAATTTGATATATTATATGCTTAATTTGGATAATTGTAGCTTCACTGCCGAATCATTCCCTTTATCATTACACATATTTCAGTTTCCACTAAATAGTCACTAGTAAATTAATCATAACTTACTCAATAAAATCCAATTGATGAGAGGTTTGAATCTTAAGAAACTAGATAGATAGAGCTTTAATTTGATATATTATACGCTTAATTTGAATAAATGTAGCCTCACTTATGAACCATTCATTTTATCATCACACACATTTTGGTTTCTCCAGTTTCTCGATTTTCACTTAATAGTCAGTAATAAATTGGTCATAACTTACTTAATAAAAATCAAATTGTTGAGCGATTTGAATATTTGGAAACTAAAAAGATAGAGCTTTAATTTGATATATTATACGATGAATTTGGATAACTATAGACCTACTCTTGAACCATTTATTTTATCATCATACACATAAAACCAATTCAATTTTTGTAATGACAAAGGAAAACAAATATTGATATGTAGTTTTAATTGTATTTGTTCTATCTCTTTTTGTTAATATTTTTTTTATGTTACATACATATATCATGAAAACAGGTTGTTGTTGAATATAACCAATTTGATTTGTATCACAAATATCATTTGATGTTTGTTGCCAAACCATGTAGCTTTAGTAAACCATTTGTAATATGCCGAACCATTATTATTATCCTTTAAGGAAAACAAATATTGATATGTAGTTTTAATTGTAATTGTTCTATATCTTTTTGTTGATATCTTTTTATATTACATGCATATATTATGAAAAGAGGTTATAACTGAATATAACTAATTTTATTTATTTAACAAATATCAACTGATGTTTGATGCCGAACCGTATAGCTTTAGTAAACAATTCATGTTATCATTACACACATTTAGGTTTTCACTAAACAATCAGTAGTAAATTGATCATAACTTACTCAATAAAAATCCAATTGATGATAGGTTTGAATATTTAGAAACTAGACAGATAGGGATTTAATTTGATATATTATACACTTAATTTGGATAATTTTAGCTCTATTATCAAACCATTCCTTTTATCATCACACACATTTTGGTTTCCACTAAATAGTCAGTAGTAAATTGACCATAACTTTCTCAATAAAAATCCAATTTATGAGAGGTTTGAATCTTTTGAAACTAGATAGACAGAGCTTTAATTTGATATATCATACACTTAATTTGAATAACTGTAGCCCCACTGTCAAATCATTCCTTTTATCATCGCATACATTTTGGTTTCCACTGAACAGTCAGTAGTAAATTGACCATAACTTGCTCAATAAAAATCTAATTGATGAGAGTTTGAATTTTAGATAGTGCTTTAATTTGATATATTATATGCTTAATTTTGATAACTATAGCACCACTTTCGAACCATTCCTTTTATCATCACACACATTTCGATTTTCTCTGTTTCTCGATTTCCACTAAACATTCAGTAGTAAATTAGGCATAAATTGTTCAATAAAAATCCGATTGTTGAGTGGTTTGAATCTTTTGAAACTAGAAAGATACGACTTTAATTTGATATATTATACAATGAATTTGGATTACTATAGACCTGCTACCGAACCATTCATTTTATCATTATACAGATAAAACAAATTCAATTTTAGTGATGACAAAGGAAAACAAATATTGATATGTAATTTTAATTGTATTTTTTCTATTTCTTTTTATTGATTTTTAGATTGATTTTGTTGTTTGATTTGTGGGTTTTACAATTATCATCTTTCTTTAAGATGCTATCACCAAATGTTTTTTTTTTTTTTTTTTTTTTTTTTTTTTTTTTTTTGCTATATGTGGTGGTCAATTCTAATTGCAGCAAATTGATTTGTGTCAGAAGACCTTTATCTTCATGACTTCTTTAATGTTTCAATTTAGTTGTCTTTTGATTATACTGTTAGAGTTGTTGTTTCTTTCTATGTGAAATCTCTTCTCAATATTCTTAATTTTTTTTATTTCTAAAATA